TGAAACTATTAGAAAAAAGGGATTTCAAATCTTCCAATGAGAATTGATCTCATGGATTGATGAGGTGTAATAGGGATCAAATTAATTTAATATAATTAATTAAATGCATTTAATAGATGGTTTTCTTAAAATAAAATCCCTAAGGGGGGAATTTTCTAAAATAAAATTCTTGAGGGATTTAAATTTTGGAAAGTGAGGGGGTTAATTAATTAATTAACTTAACTTAATTAAATACCAATAGTATAATTAATATAATTAATAATTAATTAACACACAAAATATAAAATTTATATGTGAGTTATTTTAAGGGAAGTTTTTGAAATTTTAAAAATTATGAAAATCAAAGTGCAAATTCTAATAATAAATAACGTGAAATTATAAATTTTGAAAATTGAAATCACATGAAGTCATGAGACCTGTCAAACAAATAATGATAAGCACAAATTGAACTAGATAGAAAACTTACCATACATAAACCTAGTTTCACATTAAAATAAAAATGAGTTATCAAGTGTATATAATTTATAACTAGACTCATATCCCATGTAGTTTGATTCACCTTCGATCAAACTTGATGCTTTTTTTAGTCATAACTTTTTTTTATCTCGTAGAGATGAGGATGCTCAGGTGGATGAGTGGCTTTACCCTTAGAGATAGGATACGAAATGAGCATATACGTGAAAAGGTTGGAGTAGCTTCAGTAGAAGATAAGATTAGAGAAAGTCGCCTTAGATGGTTTGGTCACATAAAACGGCGGCCTTGCGATGACTCGGTAAGGAGAGTAGAGGTATTAGATTTTACTTATGTTAAGAAAGGTAGGGGTAGACCTAAAAAGACTTGGTTAGAAAATATTAGGAATGACCTTTCTTTATTAGATTTAAACGAGAATTTGACTTTTAATAGGACACAATGGAGAAAAAGGATGCATGTAAGGCTTGATGTTGTTGTTGTTGTTGTTGTTTTATTATGAGAGTCAGATGAGAGGGTAGTTATGACTATGATAAAATATGATATTTTAGGGATCCATTCAATGCTTGTTGGATTTTCTCACACTCACATATTTATATATGCGCAAAAGAATTTATTGTCACTATTTTTAAATTTTTGTATCGACTCTCATTTCTCATCATTCATGCACGTGTTGCGGCAAATTAGTGACATGAAGCATGCTTATAAGGTAATTTGGACGCTCTAAATGCATCAACGATATTTATTTGTTTTGCAAATTGAGTGATGATTAGGCAATTTTAATTTGATTAAAAGGCATTTAAAACCTAAGTTGCATAATGTTGTTTCTGTTCCGATTATTTTCATGATTTTTTATCCTCAAATGCATCAATGTGATCCTTATCACGAACGGGCAACAAAAGATTGATTTTCATGCGAGTGAAATGTTTCAAATCTATTTTGTGCGATATGACAAGTATTGTCTGTCGTCTTCATCTCATTAGATTGATTTGAGTTTTGGAGCAGATGTGGAGGTCAAAGCCGAAGAAGAAAGTTACATTAATATGCCTGAAGAGAAGAGCATTAATTAGGAACATTTATTTAACTTAATTGGGTCTCCATTTAGTAAATTAGGATAAATGCATCCTTTCATGTTAAGTTTTCATGAATATATCAAGTCAATTTCTAGTTGTGTTGAATTTATTTATATGAAACCATATCAAACAATGAAAATTGATTTAAATTATATAAATTTAAGCTAGTTTCAAACTTTGGGAATAATTGTCATCCTTAATCTTTATTTACTAATCTCAAATCACATATCATCTAAACACTTATTGATCATTTTAAACTGTTTTGCTTCCTTCGGCAGTGGTCTTGCTTATTATAATTAGGCTAGTTGTAAATAGCACCATGGCGATTCAATTTGAATATCGTTTATAAAATTTCATTATTAATTCAAATAGGTACCAGCTTAATTGTACCCCTTAATATAATTCTATATTTGAAACCACCATTTAGCCTATTAAGTCTATTCATTGCTCCATTTTTCATATTTCTGATGACTTTAACATGTTTTTGAGATGAAAGTTTCTCCTTACTATCAATCAAATACATTCTCAAACATGCATTTTCAAAAATAAATAAATACTATAAAATGATTTTTTCATTGTTTTTCAACGGATCGCCTTATAATAAAAATCACATCATTATTCATATAAACAATATTATTATATTTACTTAATGTTTTCATCTTTTTTTAAATCCTATTATCTTCGCACTTTATAAATTAAGTTTTTAGATTTCTTTTATCTTATCTTGGTTATTTATGTATTTTATTTCTTCTTCTGTATTAACTTTATTTTGCCATATGTAATTAGCATGCTTTTTATATGATGTCATGCTCTCACAATCCAATTTAGACAATGCTGCTCATTTTTGAGACTGTTGTCAGGTTCTCTTTTACATCATACAATATCCAAGAGATTCCTAGTTCTCTTATACAAATCCTCTTTATACCAGGGACCTGCTACTTGACTTCTATAATTCAAGTAGTGGCAGGAAGCCTGCTCAGATAATCATTTTCAGGTACGTTCTACTTTTGGTGAAGTATTCTTCTTGAGTCGTCTTTTTCTCATTAAGTGAGGGACTATCTATATATTTTATTTCTCTTTTAAGATCTTGAAACTTGAATCGTTTTTCCTTGCACGGATCTTGATTAGCTGTATTATTTCAATTTTCCAATGCTTTTGGTGAGTTTGCATGCAGGATGAGATGTACCATATTGTTCTTAGAATATATATATTAACATGTCTTATTATGCCTACAAGACCTATTGATGTAACGTAAGATAGAAGAGATTGCAGTGGCAGCGACAATGCAAGAAATCTGTTTTCAGCAAGCAGCTCTTATCATGCCATAGGTCTAGATGGAAATACACGCTGAGTCTAAATGTTGGTGCATTATGGCAACACGAGATACAATAAAAGAATTTGAACACCCAAAATTTTCTACATTGGGTTTATCGAGCCTTGTTGATCAACATGGATTAGGTTTAAGGCTAGCTAGTCAAAGAAAAAAAATGATCAAGTTACATCAATTTCCATAGAACATATTGAACTCACCATTGAGTTAAAGTTGTCCAATACTTGATATTAAGCATATTCAGCCTATGAATGCTAAAACGTGAGACTAGATAAAGTCGTCAAAAGCTACTCACCTAACTCTTATCAAGCTTCAAAGCTAGTTGCTAGAACACACCAAATGTGAGTGAATTCAATGTTAACTTCACATCTCTGATGCACCGACACTTCATTTTAAGAGGGTATGCAGTGTCGGACACGAACATGCGTACGACACAGTGAGGACATGTGTCGGACAAGTCATTAGTGTGTCCCATTAAAAAAAAAAACAAAATTAAACCGAACGCATGTTAGACATGCGTGTCCGACTATTGTATAATTAAATAAATAAATAAACCCTAATCCCACTATTTCATATTAGCCGGTTCATGCCTGAGTCTTCATCTTCTCCTTAATCCCGTATTTCTATTCGTATTCGTGGTTTTTTCGAGCGATTGAGGCGAGCAGCGATCGGCTAGAGATCGCACCCTTGGTCTTCCCTTCCAGCCGTAAGCAACAACCAACAAGCCATCCTCCTTAGGTTTTGGGCACAGCCGAGGGATGTCGACGTTAAACTGCAGAAAAGTTTTCAGACCTGTAAGTTGATTTCGTCATTTTTATCTCCATTCATCATTTCTCTTCATTTATCAATGATTATGTATATTTTTTTATCAGAAGAGCATTTTTTATTATTTTATTTGTTTTAGATTAAAATTATTCTTACAATAAAAATTTGTTTATTTAATGCGCTTTAACTGTGCTTTTGTTGCACTTTAATTGTGCTTTAACTGTGCTTTAACTGCGCTTTTGATGCGCTTTAACTGCGCTTTCACTATGCTTTTACTGTGCTTTATTGCGTTTTTGCTGCGCTTTCACTGTGCATTCACTACACAGAAAATTTTTGTTCCGGGGGCACTGCTCCCGGAAACCCCCGCAGGGGCGCTACCCCTTGACCCCTTGACATAGGTTGAACCCCGCCAGGGGGCAGCGCCCCCTTGGACCCCCGGCATAGCTGCAAATTTTTAATTGTTTTTTTGTCAGATAGTCATAACGCATGATGCAATAGTTCTTTTATTATTTTTTAACTTTGTTTGACAATTTTTAATTGTTATATAATATGCCACTCAATTTTTTAAGCCTTTATTTCTTCTACTACACCAGTGAATTTAAAAGTAAAATGAGCTCTAGTGTTGGTGGGAGTGGTTAAAAAAAATATCACTAGGTCTTGTAGAAACTGATAAGTCATTATGGATTCATGTTACAAAGTTAGAAAAAAATTTTGAATGAGGAAATGTGTCATTCAAATGCAATTATTATGGTGGCACCTACACTTACAAATGATCTTATTATAGGGTGAAAGCACATCTACTTAAGATTTCTAGCCATGGAATTAAAATGTGTCATAAGATTACTACATCACAGTTAATTGAATTGAACAGACAAGTTGGTGAAACTAAATCTAGGATCAAAAGGGCACTTCATAAAGAGATATCTTTGTCATCTACCCATGGTTCATCCCACACTTCTTCCTTATCTGTTAGAGTTGATTAATCATTATTATATAAAAGTGAATGATATGATTTAAAGAAAAGAAAAGGAGTTGTTAGTAGTACTTTATAAAAGGCTTTTAACATTTAGCAGCGAGAGGAATTGGATGGTGAAATTGCAAGAATGTTTTTTTCAGCTGGACTTTCTTTCAACCTTGCAAGAAATCCTCATTACAAAAATGCATTCACTTTTGCATGTAATAACAACCTTGCAGGTTATGTTCCACCTGACTACAATGCATTAAGATCAAAATTATTGAAAAGGGAAATATTACATATTGAAACATTGCTTGAACCAACAAAAGGTGTGTGGAAAGAAAAATGAGTCACTTTGATGTGTGATGGTTGGACTGATCCTCAAAGAAAACCACTTATTAATTTCATGACCGTTACAGAGAATTGCCCAATGTTTATTAAAGCTGTGAATTGTGAAGGAGAATACAATGATAAATATTTCATTGCCAATTTGATTAAAGATGTGATAGTCATTATTAAGCCTTCAAATATTGTGCAGGTTATAACAGATAATACACCGGTGTGTAGAGCTGCAGGATTGTTGGTGGAGCAAACTTATCCTCATATATTCTGGACTCCATGTATTATGCACACTTTAAATCTTGCTCTAAAAAATATTTGTGCAACAAAGAATACAGAGACAAATGAAATCATTTATGCTGAATGTCATTGGATAATAATGGTTGTAGATGATATTGTTTTGATCAAAAATTTCATTATGAACCACTCAATGAGACTTTTAATATTTAATGATTTCTTACATTTGAGAATGTTAGTTGTTGCTGAAACTCATTTTGCCTCTGTAATAATCATGTTGAGAAGATTCAAACATATAAAAAATACTCTTTAATTTATGGTGATTAGTGATAAGTGGTCTTACTATCGTGAAGATGATGTTGGGAAGGCAAGGCATGTAAAAGAAAAGGTCTTAGATGATTTGTGGTGGGATGATGTAGATTACATTTTGATTTTCACTGAACCGATTTATGTCATGTTGAGAGGTTGACACAGATAATCATGCCTACATTTGATTTATAAAATGTGGGACTCTATGTTAACAAAAGTGAAAGAAATCATATACAAACATGAAAGAAAGCCACATAATGAAGACTCAAGTTTTTGGAGCATCGTCTATACCATTCTTGAGGATAGGTGGATCAAAAGCAACACACCTCAAAATTCTTTGGCTCATTCATTAAATCCAATGTACATTTGTATTCATTTTTTTAATTAATTTTAAATTTCTTGGTAAATGATTAAATAATTTTATATGTTTTGTATTATTTGAAGATATTCAAATAAAGAATGACTTCAAGAAGATCCTCAACGTGTCTCACCACAAAAGATTTAGAAGTGTCAAATATGAGAAATATATGCTTGAAACAATATTTTTCAAATGATGATAGAAGAAAAATTAATATAGAACTTGCGGAGTTCTTTGGATATTTAGAGGATTTTGGTGATTAAGAATCTTTGGTTGATAGATGGAGGATGGATCAAAAAATGTGGTGGTTTATTCATGGAGCTTCAGCACCACTTTTTCAAATCATAGCAATAAAACTTCTTGGTCAAGTATCATCCTCTTCCTGTTGTGAGAGAAATTGGAGCACATACTCATTTATTCAATCAATGAAGATGAATAAAATAACTCTACTACGGGTTGAAGATTTAGTTTATGTGCATACAAATCTTCGTCTTCTATCAAGGAAAATCCCATTTTATATGACAGGTGATAACAAAATGTGGGATGTTGCTGGAGATAGGTTCGAGTGCCTTGATGATATAGGATTATTGGAGGTTGCAAATCTTTCTCTAGATGAACCAGAGTTGGAAGCAATGATATGCAATGATGCTGATATTGAAGGCCAAAGACCAACCTCTGAATCTAATTCTATCATTCCCTCTATTGAGTAGTTGGACTTTCATGTTGTACTAAATGATTTTTGTGGTTGAACTAAACATTTTGTACTAAACATCTTTATGTTATAAGCTAAATAAGTTATCATAACTTTGATTTATTATTGCTTGCTATTTTTAATATAATGTTACCTTAATTTCAATATATTATATTAAAAGATTATTATGTCATGTCCACAACGCACCCGTGTCCTATATTTTTAAAAAATGCCGTAACCTGTGTTTGTGTCGGTGCATCATAGCTTCATATGAACTCTTTCATTAGAAATCAACATGAGTTCTCTATGCAAAAAAATTCCAAAATAGCATCCAGATTATTTGTGTGTGACCAATTTAGTATCAGAGTGTCATGTTGCTCCAATTTTGTCCCTTGACTATGTAAAATTGATTTTAAATGGTCCCTCATATTGTAATTGTAATTGTGATATAAAATTGATCCCAATTAGTCCTTTAATTATACAAAATTGATCCAAATTTAGTTTCAAAAGAACCATTTTGGATCTATTTTCTATGGCCGAGAGACAAAATTAGAGCAACGTGACACTTGGGGACTAACTTGGCCTTATATGAATACTCGGGGAATATTTTGAAGTTTACTCCATTCTTTATGTAAATAAATAACTATGAACTAGCTAAATTGATTTATTTTACTGTAGGACTTTTAAGCCTTAGTACATAATTTTACTCATTGCTTAAATGTATATTGTCACGTTGCATTGTTCCTTGACCCAAGTCTATAAATAAATGGTCAGAGAATGAAACCTAAAACAATCCATCAATTGAGATCAATCTTGTACTTTATGATAAAAAATAAAAATTAAAAACATAAAATAAAAATCTTGTACTTTATGATAATTTAGTAGAATCTCAAAGTTTTTTCATTTGAATTTCTCTCTCCTGTTTTCTCTTGTTTCTTAGTTATTTTTGTTATTAAGGTTCAAATGTTGCTCATGCACAATTTTGGATCTAACATCTTAAATGTTGTGAGTTTAGAAGCCAACTTCTTAGAACAACTCTACCTTATTGGAGCAGAAGGGTATGGATTATAAGTAGTCGATGGAGGATCAAGAGAGGTGGCAAGAATTGAAGAAGAGAAAGTATCTAAATCAACATGCTCTTCTAAAAAGATTGTTGACATTGACGGCCTCAATTTCTTCTTCTTTGGTTTCTTGGCTGTAGGAACTTCCTATTCACTCAAAAACTTAGTGAATTCAGGATCATTGGAAATTTCTAAAGGCGTTTGGCTAGTTATGCTTAATCGTTATGACGCAACTTTGAGCTTTTGAGACCCATAATATATGCTCAGTTGCAGGCAACTTTGAGCTTTTGAGACCCATTAAATATGCTCAGTTGCATAATGGTGGCTTAAAGGCTTTATTTCAGCTGAAGGTCTAGAGGTTGTGCTCAACCGCTTGAAGGTGGCTCAAAGGTTCTATTATGGCCAGATCTTGTAAGCTCTAGAGGTTATGCTCAGTCATTATAAGGTGGCATTGGCTCAGAGGCATGTTCAATCTCTTGAAGGTGACTCGAAGGATTTTATGACTAGCAAGCATCTATTGCATGTTCAAGGTAGCATTATGGATTGGTTGTTTTGCTCTTGTATGGTGTGCCCTAATTTATGGTATGGAATCTTTTAATTCTTAGATTACTTTTGATCTTTATGACTCCGAAGTGCTACGCTCATCTAAGCTTTTAGGCTGGAGGTTATGCACAATTATTATGGGGTTGGACAAAGCTTTTGAGATTGAAGGCTATGCTTGGTTGCCTTAGATTAGCTCAAAATTTATGGCTTTTCGGCATGATCCGACCAACATTTCTCGTAAGATTTAGTTCATGCCCCTGCATGAGACCGAAGTCCATGGTTTTTGCAAGAGTAGAAAAAATATAGGCCATACCTTATTATGTTTGCCATGATTTAGTTCCTCTTTAGGCAATTGCTATAATAGTATGCCTGATTTGCTTATTATCTCTTTTTTTTAGCTCAATCCATGTGTTCATATTTCCTTTGCTTGAAATAGCCTTTTTGGCTTTTTTTGCTAAAACTGAAGAAATAAATCCAGATATGATTTTGTATGAATTTTTGGGCTGTTGTCCTTATCTGATCATTTAAGTATAGATTTTTCTATTATTTCATCCTGTTTCCATGTTTGTTTTTCTTTGTTCGTACTAGTTTTAACGGGAGCACCAAATTGTTAACATCTAAACTTTTCTATTAGATAATTAGGAGGGACAGATCGATTAGTTTGACTAATTTGAGTAGTGATCAAACAATGATGTATGAGTGAGAGATAAAAAAGAGATATTTTGTAGTGGTTTCAAGAAGAAAAGAGACTAATAAATTGAGAAAGAAAACTTTATCATTTATGTTTTGAAAATTGGATCGGATCGGCCTATTCGACCAGCTCAACTGTGAACAGGTTATATGACTGCTTCAATCCATCTTAAAATCTAGCCTAGCATCAAACTGCTTTAAACTGATCTGAAATGTCGGTTCAACCAACTAATCGATGAATTGATCCAAGTTTTTAAGAACTGGTCGGTTCAATTAATATCTTATTTAATAATTAAATAAATTATTTAATATAAAATATTAAATTAAGTATTAAATTTAGTAAATTAATGGCTAAAAATCTACCTCTCCATGCGAAAATGATGATGAAGTTCAACATGCACGACGTACGAAAACTTGGCGGGCGAATTGATACATAATTAATAAAGATTTTTTTTTTTTAAATTTTTAATTAAAATATTATTAATTAAACTTATTATTATTATTATTTAAATCTTATTTAAAATTACTATCTTAATTTTACTATATGTCAAACGGTTAATTAAAAATAATAATTAATTTGTAAATATGTTTTTTGTGAAAAAGAAGAATCAAACTAGATTTTTTAATGGAATCTATGTTGCACGGATACGCCTATTTATGAGGCATGCTGTATCGGATTCGTGTCGGATACAGATACGCCTTCGATACGGCACGGATACGTGTCGGATATGGCTATGCCATGTCCAATTAAAATATTATTTAAATATGATCGGACACGCGTATCGGATACGCGTGTCCTATTAAAAAAAAATAGAGCCGCAATTTGCCCTATTTATTTCGGCTATCCGCTTGATATCCTTATTCATTTATGCGGCTTAAACATTTCGGCGAGCTAGGTTTTTTGGTTTATTCTATATATTGTTAAGTACCCTTACCCTTGCATTCGAACTAATTTAAAAAAAAAAAAGATAATTCAAAATTCTGTCATAAATGATGTGGAGCGGAAAAAAGCATTACAATGGTTTCAATTCAACCTTTTTGTTTTCTAGTTCTACTTACAATTATTGGTATATTGGAAATTCTTCATGTTTGAACTGATTTAGTTAAATGATCAGACAATACTTGATGGTATTGCATCACCATCCTTTCATTTGAAAATTTTAGAACAGTTTATGTGCTTATAAATTGATTGCTGGAACACATGAAATTATGCATCACACTAGTTTTGTGATGCTGATGGAAAGTGATTGATTTTTTTTTTTAAGTCTGAACAAATTTAATTGTAAATTCATGCACATATTTGTATATGCAACCCTCATATCAATGACCTTGACAATGGGAGTCGAAGCTCCCAACCATTGGATTGGGGTGGGCTTCTCAAGGGATGAATTTTCTTTGATCTTGTATTTATGGGCCATAAAATTGACACAACACTACATATTTATTATCTTTCTAATTGGAGAATTTCGTATCTCGTATGTATATATGTATTTATGTAAGGGATTCTCATCAGATTTCTCTTTTTTTCCTGGCGATAGGGATTGTGTAAGTGAATCACATTTCAGCCATGTCCTAAATATTGAGCTGGATCAAGTCATCAAGGTAATTTTGCTAATCTGATGTTCTGAGTTGGACTTGGGGTTCGTTTGGGACAGCTTTCTTACTGCTTTCTAAAACAGTGTTTTAGTTAAAAAATTTCTTGATTTAGAATTTTTTGTACTAAAAAGCTGTTTTAAAAAGCAATGAAAAAATTGTCCCAAACGAAGCTTTGGGCACATTTCAAACGTCGTTCCAAGCTTCCCCTGCATTCATCTATGTTCTTGTTTCCAGGCATTTCAACATTTAGGTGAAGGCCCGCTTCCAAGTTTCACCGTAATTATGGCACAAAAGAACCATCATACCAAGCTTTTCCAAGCTGATTCTGCTGAAAATGTTCCTCCTGGTAAGCTTCTCCACCTGCTATTACTACATAAAATTTCCTGTGACTGCTCTACGCTTGCTGTTTTTTGAGTTTCTAGAACTTGAATAGTTTCATAAAAGTTAATAGGCTTTCCAAGCCCATCACCCTGAAAATGGTCTTCCTGGTAAGCATCACCAGAAAGCTATTACATCTTCAAGAACAGATGATCGATCAGATGTAGTTGCTCTCCATTTCCTTTGTTCATATCAGTAAAGAGATTCTTTAAAGTTCATAGTTTCTTAAAAGTGTGCACTGTCTCAGGAACCGTTGTGGACACAAGGATTGTCCATCCAAGGAACTATGACTTCTACATGTGCTCTCAAGCTGGGATGATTGTAAGTTTCCTCTCAAAAATCCATCTCATAAATTTGTGGACACAAGATTCTCTAATCCCTCACTTAAAACTTCGATTCTTAATAGATTTTTAACTTCTACTCTCTTTTTGTAAAGGGTACTTCAAGGCCAACACATTATCAAGTGCTTCTTGATGAGATTGGCTTTAATCCTGATGAACTTCAGAACCTTGTGCATTCACTCTCTTATGTGTAAGTCAATTTGCAGAGACTTCTAAATATCATAGAAGATGTTGATTATAACAATTGATATCATTTGTCGCAGATATCAAAGGAGTACAAGTGCAATTTCTGTTGGTAAATATGCTTTATTTGCTCTATATTCTCATTTTTTTACTTCTCCAGAAGTAAATTCACATTGATTATTTACATCTAACAGTGGCTCCAATCCGATATGCACATTTAGCTGCACATCAAATGTCTCAGTTCATCAAATTTGAGGACTTCTCAGAGATTTCGAGTCAAAATGGTGAAGATGGGAACTCTGTAATTCCGGAGATGCCTAAACTGCATGAGGAAGTTCGTGAGTCTATGTTCTTCTGCTAATATAAAGCAGATTGACAGATAAGTGGTCCATATTTATTTATTTCTGTAAATAGATGAAGCTTAGGATCATGGACACCTTAGCATAAATAGGAATTTTAGGAGCCCTTTCAATTAATATTGAGAACACAGCATTTTTTGCTAGGCTGCTAGACCATTTAGAAGAAGATATTGAGCTTGGTCTGTAATGCAAGTCTGAACTCCCAAGTTTTATTTTATTGGAAGGGTTCAGACAATATTGAGAATCTGAATGGAGATCCATTTGAGGCATATCTTTCTAACTTGAAATGTTTCTGCACATGCACTATGTGAAGTGGAAGATAATTGCATATTAATGGAAGAATCTTGATTTCTTAGAACCGACCCGCTCTATTCTATCTAGAATGAGATTCTATAAACATGTCATGTCAACCATTAAACAAGTTATTACGAACGCAAGACATCTAATAAGAAATGTCACAAAATCTTCCGCTCTTCGAGGATGTCCTCGACGTCAAGAAACATGTACTAGGATGTATGTCTGATTCGTTTAGTTTAGATTATGAGTTTGAAGTAATATATATATACCAATATCAATGACCGCTATTGATGAATGAAGATAGGCAGAGTGGAAGATAGCTATTTAATTGAGTATTATAGAAAATTGAAGATCTATCATATACCTAGTTATATTATATTAAAAAATGATGTGAAGGAATATCTTCCTCTTTTTTGAACTAAAGTGGGTTTGAAGGTTGTATGGTATGTGACATTTCTAGAAGATTGATTTTGTGTGCCAAAAGAGTGCTTGACATTCTATTCTATTTGAAATGATGATGCTAATGATCCATTTCAGCCCAAAGCCCCCAACTATCCCTATTATTGACTATCTTAGATTTTGTTTGAGACGGTTTTAGATCATAATTTTTATTTTTTTTAATATATTGTTTTACTAGAAAAATATCTTTATAAAGTAGTAAGAAAGTTGTACCAAATGAAATTATAATTTTGATTACAAGTTTAAGAAGACAATCATCTGAATATAATATTATAATTTGAAATTATATAAGATATTTTAACTTTACACTATATTTTATATAGTTTTTTTTTATCCTATATTTGAAATTTTACAAGGTAGTCTTACATTCTCAGGTCATATCTTAGAATTTAGAATTTTTATTTTATTTTTTATATTATAATTTGAAATTATATAAGATATTATAATGTGTTATTGTCTTTATTTTGGTTGACCCTGCTATCACTTTTACAATGTATATAGGACAATTAAATAAATTAATTAATGACCATGATCTTGTAATAAATTTCAAGATACAAAAGGTATTTATTGAATAATATGAGTTAAGTTTAAATTTTTATGATTAAGGGGATGATTAGTGTGCAATTAGTTAACCAAATTAATCATCATTTTACATTAATTTTATGAAATTTTGTAAGTAGTATTAGAATAAATTGAGATAGACAAAAAAAGGAAAATAAGGATAAAAGAAATTATATAATCATCATATTTTAAATGCAATTTAACACTGATTCTCTTAGCTATAAAATAACATATTTTAAATGCAATTTATATGATAAGCTCTTTATAAGAGAAGTTTAAAATAAATCTAAAATAGCTTATACCATAAAAAAATATAAAACAAGTTAACAATTTAGCCTCAATCATATCAAATGCAGCTCGAAATTAGCTTGAAGGCTTTTGTTCAATTCTCAAATCGCACCAATTATGATTGTCGATGAGCTCAAATCTAACCTAATATCAAATCAATCATAACTTACTAATTTCAAATGGAGCTCATATTGATCTTTGTATGTATTCCACGATTAATTCAAGCATGTGTGATGAGACGGACTGATTGATTGGTGTGAGGCCGAGCAAAATGAGTTCAAATCATCTTGATCATGGCCAAAATCACTCAAACATTGTCCGTTTGCTAAACGGATTGTGACGATGCATTAAAAATGTTGAATTTATTCAAGAAAGCATCGTTTGCGTTCAATCTGATGGAACATAATGAACATTGTGTGAATTCACCCAAAATATTGCATGTTTGCAAAATAGAGTACGTCAAAACATTCAAAATGTCAAAGTTAACCAGAACAAACACCCATTTTGTCTGGGTTGTAACAAAAAGAAAAGAAAAAAAATAAAATTTGTTGGCATGCAAGAAGGTGACATGTAAATCAAAATGTGGCAGGATAATTTGTGTTTTCACTAGTATAGGTGATTGGTGGGATAGAAATTCCCCTAGAGAGGTCTAGCATTCATGGTGACGCCACATATGCAACAGGACATTAAAAAACTACTGAAATTTTGTCTAAATGCCAGTTAGAAAGGGAATAATTAGAATGATCTACTGTACTAAAATATAAAAATAAATAAATGCACATTGATGACAAAATTAAATTATTAAAATATAATATTTGTTGCTCTGAATCAACAAAATTGAACACAAACAGGTACTTATTAAAAAAGAAACGTTGGTATGTAATACTTACAATTACAGAACTTGATAGGACTTTTGTCTCTATCTCAGCATATCTTTAACTTTATCGTCGGAAAGTTTAGAATTGAGAGAGAGAGAGAGAGAGAGAGAGAGAGAGAAGAGAAGGATGTTCGAAGGCTGCAGGCGAGATTTGTCTGTTAGACTAGTTAGGAGATTTGTTTTGATTGACGTAGGCTCCTAATGGCCTATTTTTTAATTCAATTCTAATATTTTTACAAGATGCTATAAATAACATATGTTTTTCATGAGTGCTACAAATCTCTCAGTGTGATTTCTGGTATATTATAAAATGTCTTATTTTGATCATTTTAAATATAAGAAATTAATATTTCACTTATCAGTTTCATTTATATGAATTTTTGAATATTTCTTATTGAAAATGACAATTATAGTATTTGCTATGGTTTATTAAAGTCATAGAATGATATTTTAAAGATTCTTTATAAATAGTAGTTTTTCAAATGGCGGATATTCAATGTGTAGGCAAATTATACATGCATCATCTTCTAAAGTATTATACATATGTATTCATGATTATGTTCAACATCATATATATCTATTAATTCATTTTTATCTCTATATGTGCATTCAAGTTCATATGGAAAAAGTTTTGATGTGGGAACACTATAGAAAAATCAGGAATTACCAGCGATTTTTTCTGACGGTTAGTATTATGTTTCCGGCAAATTCATAAAATACTAGCAATTTTCCGGCGGTTACTAAACCGCCAGTATAAACCGTATAGGAAACAATTTTCGGCTATCAATTTCTGGTGGTTAACTTTACCTGCGGCATAAACGGCCGGTAAATTCTGGCGGTCATAGCGCCGGTGACAGCCGGTTAATTATCGGCGGCTTACCGGCGGCCTAACCGCCAGTTTACCGCCGCCAGTATTTACTGATAGCTATATTAAAATTCTGATGTCTATAATAAGCCGTCCGGTATCAAAGTTTCCGGTTGACCGCTGGAAACCTGTAGCATTTTCAAAAAAAAAAAAAAAATCAACATCATATATATCTATTAATTCATTTTATCTCTATATGTGCATTCATGTTCATATGGAAAAAGTTTTGATGTGGGAACACTAGAGGAAAATCAGGAATTACCGGCAATTTTTTCTGGTATTCGTATTATGTTTCCGGCGGTTCATATTATGTTGCCGGCAGATTCCTAAAATACTAGCTATTTTCCGACGGTTAGTAAATCGCTACTATAAACAGTATAGGAAACGATTTCTGGCTATCAATTCTTGATGTTTAACTTTATCGGCGGCTTTCCGGCTGCATAAACTGCCGGCAAATTCCGACGGTCATAGCGCCGGTGATCGCCGGTTAATTATTGGCAGCTTACTAGCCATCCAAAGTGCCAGTTTTACCGGCGGCCTAACCACCGGTTTATCGCCACCAGTATTTACTGGCGGCTATATTAAAATTCAGTGGCTATAATAAGTCATCTGGCATCGAAGTTTTCGATTGACCGGTGGAAAACTGTAGCATCTTTAAAAAAAATTGCAACCCCTTGTAGCATCTTTATTAAACAAATTGAAAACTTTTACCAGTCATCATCTATATTCAATATGAGGTACATATCCACCAGTATTAAGAGAGCTTCCTAAACCCCCACAATTAGATATTTTGTTCTGCTTATTTTGCTCTTTTTTTGTGAATTCAGGGCTCACCCAAGCTCTACTCAAATCTGTTCATACGCCCTCTCCAATCCATAATGGACGCTACTTGGACTTTCTAATGTCCGAGAACATGTCCCTAAGATGGGTCGATCTTCTTCTCTCAAAATTTGTTCTGATCCTCGTGCTATGCTCAGGCAACCACCTAAAATCTTTATGTAAAATAATATAGGCATAATAAATAATATTAATACAAATTAAATCAAATATTTTAATTCCTGTCAAATAAATATACCTGAAACTCTCTAAACCATATATCTCTAATTTCCTTTGGGATCTTCTTCCATGATAAATAAGGAACATCATATTTGCTCCTTATGCGTCCCAAATCTTGTGGGTAAGTGGCCTTGAGAGATTGAAGCTGCAGGTTAAATTTTTTGTCAATAATATATAATATATCAAATTATAATAAACCTAACAAAATAAAATGAACTTACGTATCGCCCTCACGCTCAATGTATAGACACTTATTTGTTGCAGTTGCAGGATCCCCAACACCAACCTCTGCTTGTGTAGATGGACCACCGTGTTATGGATGCATAGGATATGGGTACTAATAGGGGTGGGGGTAAGGAGGGTAAGAGATAGTAGATGAACTGGTTTCTGATGTTGGTGGGGGTAATATATATATAATGAAGCTGTATGTGTCTGATCTGAAGAGAAAAATTGAGGACTCATCGACACAAGAGGAAAGTACCCAGGAAAGTGTGGTGGTACACCAATAAAAGGTGGATATGACTGGCCCTGACCCTGCTCATTGAGGGACTGCAGACTGCTGCTGACTCTTGGGTGGTGGTGGTGATGATATTACTGGTAGAATTGATCTCTGCCCCTCACTTTCATCGCCCTGTCCAGGTCTTCTTAGTCCAACACTCAAATATTTTTTACAAGAAAACTTTGAAGTGAAGGATTTATGAGGATAGTCACCTGAAGTCATATGCATTAAAAGAAGCAATTAGTAAACCATTGTAACATATAGAAAATTAAATTATAAGTGTTCCAGAGATTTGCATAAGTAGAAATAAAAAATATAATATAGATAAATTAATTTTAACAAACATAAAGAATTACATAATATATAATAATAATTAACATATAAAATGGATTTGATAAGAGATATTAAGCAAGATATGTTTACTAACTTGATTTAAAAAAAAAACAATTAAATAAGTA